CGGGCGGAATTCCCGATTTCCCGGGCGGAATTCCCGATTTCCCGGGCGGAATTCCCGGTTTTCGGGCGGAATTCCCGATTTCCCGGCGGAATTCCCTGTTTTCCGGGCAGAATTCCCCATTTTTTAACCCAATTTCCCCATTTTCCAGGCAGAATTCCTGGTTTTCGGGCAGAATTCCCCATTTTTGGGCAGAATTCCCGATTTCCCGGACAGAATTCCCTGTTTTCCGGGCATAATTCCCCATTTTTTAACCCAATTTCCCCATTTTCCAGGCAGAATTCCCAATTTTCGGGCCGAATTCCCGATTTCCTGGGCAGAATTCCCGATTTTCGGGCGGAATTCCCGATTTTCCGGGCAGAATTCCCCATTTTTTAACCCAATTTCCCCATTTTCCAGGCAGAATTCCCAATTTTTGGGCCGAATTCCCAATTTCCTGGGCAGAATTCCCGGTTTTCGGGCAGAATTCCCGATTTCCCGGGCAGAATTCCCTGTTTTCCGGGCAGAATTCCCCATTTTTGGGCCAAATTCCCGATTTCCCGGGCAGAATTCCCCATTTTTAAACCCAATTTCCCCATTTTCTGTCCGAATTCCCGATTTCCAGGGCGGAATTCCCGATTTTCCGGGGCGATTTCCCGATTTTTTTAACCCTATTCCCCGCTTTTTCAGCCTGAATTCCCCATTTTCCAGCACAAATTCCTGATTTTCCAGCACCAATTCCCGTTTTTTAACCCAATTTCCCAATTTTCCAGCCCGAATTCCCCATTTTTCAGCCCGAATTCCCCATTTTCCAACCCAAAGTCCCGCATTTCCAGCCCGAATTCCCGATTTTTTAACCCAATTTCCCCATTTTCCTTCCCGATTTTCCAGCGCCAATTCCTGATTTTCCAGCGCCAATTCCCAGTTTTTTTAACCCAATTTCCCGATTTTCCAGCGCCAATTCCCGATTTTCCAGCGCCAATTCTCCACTTTCCAGCGCAAATTCCTGCATTTTCAGCCCGAATTTCCACTTTTTTAACCCAATTTCCTGATTTTCGAACCCGAATTCCCACAAACTTCCCATAAATTTCCCACCCAAAACCTCGCCCCAAACCCCGTGGATTTTCCCCCAAAATCTCGATTTTTTTTCCCACCCCAAACTCCACGGATTTTCCCCCAAACTCCGCGGATTTCTCCCCAAAAATCTCAATTTTTTTCCCACCCCAAAATCCGCTGATTTTCCAAAAAAAATCTCGGTTTTTTCCATCCCCAAATCCCGCAGATTTCCCCCCAAACCCCCCACAATTCCAGCCCCAAACCCGCGGGATTTCTCCCCAAAACCCCCGACATTCCCAGCCCCAAACCCGCGGGATTTTGCCCCAAATCCCGATTATTCCCTGCCCCAAACCTGTGGGATTTCACCCCAAAACCCCGACATTCCCAGCCCCAAACCCCCGACATTCCCAGCCCCAAATCCGCGGGATTTCACCCCAAAACCCCGACAATTCCCAGCCCCAAAACCCTGGGATTTGCCCCCAAACCCCCTGACATTTTCCGACCCAAAACCCTGGGATTTCTCCCCAAACCCCTGACGTTTCCCAGCCCCAAAATCCTGGGATTTCTCCCCAAACCCCGATCATTTCCCTGCCCCAAACCCTGGGATTTCTCCCCAAAACCCTGACAATTCCCAGCCCCAAAACCGCGGGATTTCACCTCAAAACCCCGATCATTTCCCAGCCCCAAACCCGCGGGATTTCTCCCCAAAACCCCGATCATTTCCCAACCCCAAAACCGCGGGATTTCTCCCCAAAACCCTGATCATTTCCCAGCCCCAAAACCCCGACATTCCCAGCCCCAAAATCCTGGGATTTCACCCCAAAACCCCGACAATTCCCAACCCCAAACCCGCGGGATTTCCCCCCAAACCCCTGACATTTTCCGACCCAAAACCCTGGGATTTCACCCCAAAACCCCGACAATTCCCAACCCCAAAACCCTGGGATTTCACCCCAAAACCCCGATCATTTCCCAGCCCCAAAACCGCGGGATTTCACCCCAAAACCCCTGACAATTCCCAACCCCAAAATCCTGGGATTTCACCCCAAAACCCCGATCATTTCCCAGCCCCAAAATCCTGGGATTTCTCCCCAAACCCCCGATCATTTCCCAACCCCAAAACCCTGGGATTTCACCCCAAACCCCAATTATTTCCCAGCCCCAAAACCCTGGGATTTCTCCCCAAAACCCCTGACATTCCCAGCCCCAAAACCGCGGGATTTCTCCCCAAAACCCCGACAATTCCCAACCCCAAACCCCGATCATTTCCCAGCCCCAAAACCCTGGGATTTCACCCCAAACCCCCGATCATTTCCCAGCCCCAAAACCCCGATCATTTCCCAGCCCCAAAACCCTGGGATTTCACCCCAAACCCCCGACATTCCCAGCCCCAAACCCCGATCATTTCCCACCCCAAAACCGCGGGATTTCACCCCAAAACCCCAATTATTTCCCAGCCCCAAAACCCTGGGATTTCACCCCAAAACCCCGACAATTCCCAACCCCAAACCCCTGACATTTCCCAGCCCCAAAACCCTGGGATTTCTCCCCAAACCCCCGATCATTTCCCAGCCCCAAACCCGCGGGATTTCTCCCCAAAACCCCTGACAATTCCCAGCCCCAAACCCGCGGGATTTCTCCCCAAAACGGGACCATCTTGCGGGAGCTCTGGCGCCACTGCTGCTCCTGCCGCTCGTCCCACCAGGCGCGGCGCTGCAGGAAGAGGCGCAGCCGCGAGATCGGGTGGTCCTGCTTGTCCCAGTAGTTCACCTCGTCCACCGAGCGGTACGCCGAGCTGTCGTCGCTCGTGCTGTGGTGCCCGATTCTGGGGCGAAAAAACGGGATTTTGGGAAAAAAATATGGGGTTGGGGGAAAAAACGGTAAAAAAACGGGGAAAATGGGAAAAAAACGGGGCTAGAATGGGGTAAAATCCCATTGGGAATGGAGAAAAACCCATTGGAAATAAGGGAAAAGCCGAGCTGTCGTTGCTCGTGCTGTGGTGCCCGATTCTGGGGCGAAAAAACGGGATTTTGGGAAAAAAACACGGGGTTCGGGGAAAAAACGGTAAAAAAATGGGGAAAATGGGAAAAAAACGGGGAGAAAATGGGGTAAAATCCCATTGGAAACTCATGGGAAATGGGGGAAAGCCGAGCTGTCGTCGCTCGTGCTGTGGTGCCCGATTCTGGGGCAAAAAAACGGGATTTTGGGAAAAAAATATGGGGTTCGGGGAAAAAACGGCGAAAAAACGGGGAAAATGGGAAAAAAACGGGGGGAAAATGGGGTAAAACCCCATTGGGAATGGAGAAAAAAACATGGGAAATAAGGGAAAAGCTGAGCTGTCGTCGCTCGTGCTGTGGTGCCCGATTCTGGGGCGAAAAAACGGGATTTTGGGAAAAAATACGGCATTCTGGGAAAAAACGGTAAAAAAATGGGGAAAATGGGAAAAAATCGCATTGGAAATGGGAAAAATCGCATTGGAAATGAAGAAAAACTCATGGGAAATGGGGGAAAGCCGAGCTGTCGTCGCTCGTGCTGTGGTGCCCGATTCTGGGGCGAAAAAACGGGATTTTGGGAAAAAAACACGGGGTTCGGGGAAAAAACGGCAAAAAAATGGGGAAAATGGGAAAAAATCGCATTGGAAATGGGAAAAATCGCATTGGGAACTCATGGGAAATGGGGGAAAGCCGAGCTGTCGTCGCTCGTGCTGTGGTGCCCGATTCTGGGGCGAAAAAACGGGATTTTGGGAAAAAAATATGGGGTTGGGGGAAAAACCGGAGATTTGGGGTAAAAACCCGAGATCTGGGGAAAAAAGTGGGGTTTTTGGTAGGAAAAGCAGATTTTTTAGGGAAAAAAGCGGGGTTTTGGGGGAGAAAAGGGGAATATTTCGGGGATTCCAAAGCAGGGCAGCAGAGCAGGATTTTGGGGTGAGAAGCAGAATATTTTGGGGTGAAAAGCAGAATATTTTGGGGCGAGAAGCAGAATATTTTGGGGTAAAAAGCAGAATATTTTGGGGCGAAAAGCAGAATATTTTGGGGCGAGAAGC